CTTGCTCACTACTGTGCCCCCAGGTCTCTGGCTCACAGAGACGCTGGGTAACACCTGTCGATTGAGTGCACGTGCACATGGCGAGGGGCCAGGCAGCGATAGGAGGGAAACGATTAGATGCTCGCGCAGCGGGATGGACATCTGTAGAAAATACGGGGTTTGGAAAAAATACAGGAAACAGAACGAGACAGACGGAACAGTACTATTAATATAATGTTTAAAATGCACACGATTTGCTACTAATTCTAATGAATATGCAGATAACATGGATACGGAGGGGATGAGAACGGGAGTCAGCGGGGCAGGTGCTGCTTGCAAGACAGAGTGATACAAACAGCGGGGTGCAGCCAGCCCGAGTCTATGCCCTGAGCTTAAAATGACAGGGGATGGAGGGACGGTGCGATGTGATAAAACAAGAAAGCAGCTTCTCAGACAATCTTCCCAGCACGAGGTGGGGTCCCTGTCCCTCCACCCCACAAGCCTGGGTGGCCTGTGACAGCTTGTGCCAGAACTGGAGTGCGGTGACTCCAAGGTGCTTCACTGTGTTTCTGCAGCCTGGAGCGGCCACCTGCAGGTGCCCTGGCTACCCATCCTGACTGAGCCCCGCCACTGGGGTCTTCTCACCCGAGGCCACCGCATCACGGAGCAGAAAGAAGCCGTCCCGTGAGACCTGTCCACATTCCTGACCCCCAGAACCCACGGGCATCACAAACAGCTGTCGTTTGATGACACTGAGGGTGGGTGGTTTGTTGACAGCAACAGAGGGCTGGGACAGAGGACGCAGCAGGAGCAGCCTTCCCCGTGTGCCCTGCTGGGGGCAGGATGAACGGAACACATGACGGCCCCCACGCCGGAGTGGGATCGGGGCGGACCGCCGCCTTCTGCCGCTGTGGCATCCCTGCGTGCGCACGCGGCCCTCCCGGGAGGCCACCAGCTTGGCCCAGCCTCCTGTGGCCTGCAACAGCCTCTGACCTCGCCCCTCTGCTGCCCCAACCTCCTGGCAGCCACGTGCCCCCTTCCCAGCCTGGCCTCCGCCCCCGTCATCCCCACCCCACGCGTCCCTGGGCTCTAACGCTTCCCTTCTCTGATCACGTTTTGTCTGAGCCCAATCCCCTCTGACTGCACTGTTTCCAGGAGGCTTCCTCGGACCCCAACATCGGGCCGCCCCCTCCCTCGTCCCTCTCTCTTACCCGCGTCCCCCGCACCGCACCGGCCCCCGCCCCCGGCCGTCCGCGCGGCCC